CCACTGAAAGAGAGGTTCTTGAGGCAGTGGTTTTTCCCCACCCTGGTCTTGCTGGATTCAATGTAGTGATTAATAAGGTGCAAGCTGGTCTCAGCAGCTGGATTTCATATTGTCGAGCGTTGCAGAGGCTGCCAGCAAAGCCCTGAACCACTGCACAGCCATTGCATAGCTGCGATCAGATGATGCTTGAATTAAGGAAGAGATGAAGGACCCTTATCCTGCTCTGCCAGCAGCAAACTGGGGACTGGACAGCCTCTGCACCGGACCCCTGCGTGCGGCTGCAGACCCGGTTCCCCTTTTGGCTGCTTTTGAAGGCCAGGTTCGGAGTTTCTCCGATGCCGCCTTCTCCCAGTTGTTCTGTTGTTCTTGGCCTGTGAATCACCTTAGTGGAGCAATTTAGTAATGGTTTGTTCTTACGCTGTTGCCTTGGCCAGCACAGGGCAGGTATGACTTGTTCCCAGCATTTAAGCGTGTTCTGGAATACATCCTGTTCAAGGCTGGAATAAGCTTTTAAAGTGCCTGTTGTTCTCAGTCCCTGCTGCCCAGGCAAATGGCTTTGGTGGGCTCTGTCTCATCAATAGTTTATCTTCAGAGCGAGAAGATAATAAAGACACAACCATCCCCACTTTATCTGTGATTAGCGGAGGTGTTCTGCCCACACAGAAAACAAGGGTTTCAGTCCGTAACGAGAACCCCCTCGTTGATTCTTCATACTCGCGGCACAGACTCCAACTCAATCCCGTGTTTCCTCCCCATAGCTGATGACATCAAGCCGTGTCCGCGTTGCAGCGCTTACATCATCAAGATGAACGATGGGAGCTGTAACCACATGACCTGCGCGGTGTGTGGCTGCGAGTTCTGCTGGCTGTGTATGAAGGAGATCTCGGATCTGCATTACCTCAGGTGAGGAGGGGAGCAGCACGCCTGGGCTCCTGCCGGGGTGAGGCAGCACGCGCTTCTCTGAGGCTGGTTGGCGTTCACTTCGTGCGTTGGCCTTTCATCCTCCTGCCTCTCCAATCAGTCAGCAAAATTTTCTTCCTTCTGACCCAAAGAGCTGAACTTTGTTCCCACTTTACAGTATAAGGACGCTCCTCCACACCAAGAAAAGCTCCTCCTGATACAATTGCATTTGAGAGCCCTTGGCATACTGGATATTAGACATAGGCCCGGTGGTGTGAATAATCACCTTGATGAGCAAATCAATCTTGATGGGGGGGGGGGAAAGAGGGAAACCTTTCCTGTGTTGTCTACTCGCTTCCTAAGTTTTGGGTTTTGCTCATGTGGAAGTTGAACTTGGGGGTTCTCAGGAACACTTGGGAATTGCTGTGGTGTTAATGTAATTTTTTTTTTTCCTTCCATTAAGCCCCTCTGGCTGTACATTCTGGGGCAAAAAGCCATGGAGTCGTAAAAAGAAGATTCTCTGGCAGCTGGGCACGTTGATCGGCGCTCCTGTA